TTGAGTCAATTGTTTTGGTGCTATTTACGAATGTTTTAACACTTAGAATCTGTTCAATACATGGTCATATTTTCTACGTGTATCTTAAAAGCTTTGGTGCCAGCTTTTATGTTAAAAACATGATATAATTGGATGTAGAAATCAAAATTCTAAAAACGGTTATTATAGCATCCATTTCGATCACCCATTTGGTAAATTATTTAATGAAGTCTGATTAAACCCCTTTGTTGTGTAATAAAAAGATAGCTTTTATGTTAAAATCATGATATAATTGGATCTAGAAATCAAAATTCTAAAAAAGGTTATTATAGCATCCATTTCAAGTACCCATTTGGTAAATTATTTAATGAAATCTGATTATACCCCTTTGTTGTGAAATTGAAAAATAGATTGTTGAGGGGAATTAACATCTTTTATAGTTGTCTACACAGCCATTTCAGAATGTGAACATTTTTTCGCTATCCACAGCTCTCTCTCTCTTTGTTGTTTAGATGGTGTATTTTCGTAGTTCAAAGATGTGATTCTCTCTCTCTCTCTCTCTCTCTCTCTCTTTCTCTCTCAGAAATCCTAAACAATGTCCAAGCATTCTTACTTTTAGAGACAAATACCTGCCCGACATATTTTCATTAATCAAATAATCAGCAAGTTTTGGGCATAAAGAGCCTGACATAAGATCGTTTTATTTCTTCTCTTCCGGCGGAAATGTTGTATCGACCCCGTCATGTCAGCTTGACTTACCTTGCAGATGCCTGTATATTAGGTCAAATTCACACAGTAAAGGTGTATGAGGGGGGGGGGGGGGCACTCAGGAACTGGTGCGTCCGAATTTTATTTTAGAGAAACTCCCATTTGTTATTCACGTATATATATATATGAGTTTATGACATGAGGTACCCCCTGTATTTGATATAAGGTAGATCTTGATTCAACGTAGGCAGCAAAGAAATAGCAATAACGTGGGTTTTCCTGATCTCTTTGGATTTTGCAAATGAAATTGCCCCGTTATAGGCTCCATCTTAATAAGCCCCTGTGAACGCTTTTAATCGTTATTTTTCCTTTTTAAAGAGACTAGTCCCTGTGTCATTGTCATGTGCGACATATTTCCCTGTGAGGCATGGCCCGGTTCCAATTTGCACAGGTGAACACTGTCCTGTATCACGTCATTCTGACCCAAACCTGTACGAACAAAATGGAGGGCGGATTCTCTGCTACACGGATTTTTCTGTTTCTTTATACCGGAGGAATCAGGCCCACAGTGGGTCATAACAACCCTAGCTTCGCTCAAATTGATTTTAAAATCAATCTCTACAAAGACCAGGTAATCTTGGTTGACTCGAAAAGGTCGATTCGTTGGGAACATGTAATTATATATATGCTTTATTCATTGTAGCGTGTACATCTACACAGGTAGATGAAAATGTACAATAGAAATGTAATTATAAATAAGTTTAATAAGTATGACATTATGTAATTATTTAATATGACTACTCATAAAATAAGCACGCAGAATTCAGGACGCCAGATCGTCAGCGTATATAAACCATTCATCATCAGCCAACATCTCGCTCTGTTGCTTAAATGACAGAAACATAACTCCTCATCAATTATAGATATTCCGATTTCAAATGATGATATCAATAAGGTTTCAAATATCGTAACACGAACCCTTCTTGTCACTCCTGAAATCCAATTAAGTGCGTAAGTTGCGCATTGCCCTGATACCTGAGCCGTCACTTAGAGTAATTTACACACAGATAATAACTCATTGAAGTTAAGTGAGTAAATTAGTCGGTCATGGTTTGAAAGACGGGTTTCAATTTCGTCATGCAGCGTAACGAATTTGATCGTTTTAAGAGACGGTGGCGAAGAGCTCCCGGCATCTATACGTGCATTGTTAGGTGCTTGAGCGAGAAAAAATCTGACAGGTGTCTACTTCAGTTCTGTATATCACATTAAAGGGATAGAAAAGTGTCAATTTGTGTGAATAATAAAGTGCGATATTCTTCGGTTTTATCGCACTTGTTGTCTTTGTCAGCGTAAAGTAACTGAATCTGTTTCAAGACAGAGCACTTCAAGATGTTACTTTCAAAATGCATCAATTCATTATAGATTTAGAGTTTTTGGTCTCACGACCTTCACTCAAAACGACGAGCTTTTATTATCAAGCACGTACTCGTGTCTGTTATAAAAAAGAAAAGAAAAGAATTTGACCGTCTTTTAAGTGGTCTCGCAGACGGTCGTAATCCCACTAGTCTGGCTTAGGATGCAAATTAATTTGGAATCGTTTAACGGCAGATAAGTACCCCCTCCTTATGCTTTTTTTTTTACAGAGTTACTGGAAATAAATTCGATACAAAGTAGAACAGGGCTTTTCGGACATGCAAAACTTTGGGTATCTTAAATATGTAACCGGGCACCTGCCCATAGCCTTCACAACAGGTCTAATTTGAATCGGGCATAGACTGATTGACGTCACAGAACAATCTAACCCCACATACATACGAATCTTCAAGAAGCAATCTTAATTTTTCATTTATACAAAAGTCCTGAAAAATTGGGAGATGTACACGCTACAATGAAAAATTGACGTCAGTTTTTTCTTTGCACTATCAAGGAATGCCAGGACAGGAAAAACATATAACGTATAGCCGATCATGGGCTCGGATATCTCTAGAGACCCGTAAGATGCGCTTTCCCCCTTTTTGTTGGACTTCATGGAAAGGTTGCGGTATTGCATGTATATAGGCTATTCAGACTCCTACGCAACCTTTTTATCTTCAAAGCTACTAGCTACATTGTACTAGTCTGTTGAAAATGGTTTTAATTTGAAACCTTACGATATACCAGTGTGTATTGGGGTTTGGCTAATGAGGTTTGTATGAGCTCTACGGACCGCCAGCTTACACACACTAGTACGCCGTGTTTGCTCATTCTAGGTATTCATTATTTTCCAACTAGCTATATTCCCATATGTTTCCAGAAATCGGGCACTTGGGCAGTCGTCCAGACTTATTTCCTCGTCCTCTGTGGATAAGTAGACCACATTGGGACGAAGTTTTTTATTTACAGGGCCCTCTCCGCTTGTTGCCAGTCAAATTTGTTTTTTCTGCAATTGTCACCTTCTTATTTATTTTTCCTTATTGGCTTCAGTGCGACTGATATTTGATACGGTGTAATGCACCTCTTTCACTCAAGAAAAATAAGCATTATATTATTTGTACTGTTATTATTTTAATTATCATAAATAAATCGATTTACCTTGGATGGTGCACAAAATACACTTATTTGTATTTAGATAAATTTTGAAACAATTAGGACCGTCCAAATGTCCAGAACCATACAACGCTCAAATAAACTAAGTCCCTGTGCAAAGGCGTACGTTTATGTGTGCATTTCGCGCATTATGACTCTAGATAATATACATTTTGGTCTTTAAGTTGAACAAAGTCCGTCAGCTGTGAAATTTTAACCATTTTTTTCCGCTGCCGCTGAAACGCGTGTGTGAACTTCAAGGAAAATTCCACAACTGACTTCCGGGATGCATGCCTACAATCCAGTGTTAATTTTCTCAACTTGATGTGTCAGTGAAATTATAATCAAATTTCAACTGATTTCGTTAAATCTTTAATTACAGCCAAGTAAAACAGAATAGGCGCCATTTTTTGTTTGTTTCTTGATGTCAAACAGTTTGTCGTTGGGCCTCCATGGTTGGAACCGCACCGATTTACCAAACCTCAGACACGCTCTATATGGTCTAAATATACGGCCCCGTGAGACCGGCTGTTTGCATGCTTATTACCACCAAATCCCGCAAGCGTGATTGCCAAGTTAATGCAACTATTTCCAGCCGACCAACCCCATACAACAGATAACAAATTACAGGAAAGAGACAACTGGGAAATGAGTGCTGTGACCTTTGACCTCTGGAATCCACGCGATATGTGGTGGCAAAAACCATGGGGTCATGTTTACTGTTCTCGAGGTGGGTTCGAATGTGGCTCCATCTCAGTGATGTTTTTATTTATTTATTTATTTATTTATTTATTTATTTGAGGATGAAAAAGGGGATTACAATGTAACATGAGGATACATAATGTATTATGACTGACTACAGCAATGATCCCCTAGGCTGCGTGCCGTGCATACTCCAACCTTAATACAATAAGCTTCAACTACGACATTTAAACCGATAAGAGTAGCTTGCAATGTTGCAAATGCGGCAAGTCCCAAAGAAACAAGGCACTTCCAGGAAAAATAATATGTTGATTACTTGGGGAGTTAAAGTAGCGTATTTTCTTAGATTTTGCAACGCCATATTGTGCAAAACAAAACACGTTATGTCAGACGTGATAGTGTGCCGTCCGTGGATGTCTCAATCTTTTTCTGACAGTGTTCAAGTTTATTCAAGAAGGCACGAACATTCTTTACAAATAATTTGATTTTCGGTCCGCAGAGACGCCTCGAAAGCAATTTCGGCGTGGAAGAAATTGAATGAAAATTGCTTTGTGGTGTTTCACAAGAAGCCAAGGTGACCATGTCAGTGGGTCTCTGAGAGAGAGAGAGAGAGAGGTGAGGAACAGAGAGAGCGTTCAAAGAGAGAGAGAGAGAGAGATGGGGAACAGAGAGAGCATTCAAAGAGAGAGAGAGAGAGAGAATGGGGAAAAGAGAGAGCGTTCAGAGAGAGAGAGAGAGAGAGAGAATCATAACATCTCCGAAGTACAAAAACACTGTAGCATCCAAACATACCACACGCACGCCATTCGTTCCACGTATATCGACATTGCACTTTTACACACCAGTTTATTGACCTGTCTTTATTCCCAAGATTGTTAAATCTTCTTTGTGAAAAAAATTGAACTTCACTACATTTATCTTGTTCTGGCAAACAATTACACTTAACGTACGCATTTAGTATACTCTAGTAGCTCATTAAAGCTAAAATATTTATCTAATAATGTTGAATCAATATGGTGTATGTGTTTACGTTTCTCGTATTTCAGTTCTATGGTTGTGAAGCGATTATTAGAAGGCTACGAGAGAGTGACGCCTGGTAAGGGAATAGTGTTTATCTTCTTTCGTTACAACTGCTTATTGTAGAATATTGGACAACTCATTAATTATACAGCATGAGTTTAATTGGGACTAATCAATGTGTAATCTAATTATAATTTGCTTAATTCTTCTTAGTTTTGCCTACCCAGTTTACTTATTTTCAGAAAAACCTTCCATATAAAGTTCCCTGCCTTCTTTAATTTTATTACATTTAGTTGTGTTGAAATTACAGTAGTGGTTCCAAGATTCTAATGGGGTGGGGAAGCAAGTTTTTTTTTTTCTTTAAGAAAGATTGTAATAATGCCAGTTTTAGAAAGCTGACTAGTAAGTTTGACATTGGGGCAGTGAACTATTAGATTTTTCAATCTTTCTGGCTAAAAAGGTTGTAGTTATTTAAATGGCTTATGATGCCATTATCTTTATATTTGGCAATCGGGACAGTTCATTGTGCTTCGGACTAGCATTTAAATGGGGAATACACACAAGAGCGATCGGTGGACTAAAGGTCTAAGACGTACACTATTAATCCATGCAGAAACTAAAGACAGTTTTAAGTTGCTGTGATCGTGCACAATGAAAAAGGAAACTTAATCGTCAAACAATGGTACCTCGTCAACATATTCTATCCCAGTCCGCCCTGTTAAAGAGCCGTCCGGACCAATTGTCAATTTCCAGCTCATTAAAGCCGTTTATATCAATACAGACCAAAGCACGTTTGGTCAATTGGAAACTGATAAATCTCGCCAAGGTCCGACTGCTGGTCAAAGGAAATCTATAACCTGCAAAAACCAAAGTTCAGAAGTTCAGCAAAACATTAGTATGCGTGAAAAGTACACCAAACCCATTTGTTGAGGGATGTGGTTAAACTGAATGCCTTGCTAAAACAGTGGAAGGACGGGCAAATTCATTATTCTAATTCGAAAGTGCACAGTTTCTCTTGTTAGTATGGTGGTCGAGGTCAACGGGGATCAAATTACAGAACTGCGCATGCGCTATTGATTTTATCAATCGCGTTATTAATTGAATAGACCGTGCGTGACCGAGGAAACGGGTCTAAAATAATGATTTTAATTCGATTTGTGTCCATCAAAAATTCAAGCTTAATCAAAACGTCCATTCGGTTCGTTATCCCTGAATTTTTAACGAGTCGAAGTGAATGTACATGTACAGGTACAATGCACAGTCAACTCCTTGGACAAGCTGGCCGTTTCTTGTAAATAAAGGTCATTAGCTACGCAACACAAGGAATGACGTTGTATTTTGATTAAACTAAGATATAAGTAGCAACATAGACGACATTGGTTTGCAGTGTTTTTCATCAGGTTTTTTGAATGCAACATGCCATGCCTCATCGCGATGACGTCACAAACATGTCATTTATGACGTGTAATCGATAATGCTAATATCATGCGTCGTTTGTGACATGTTTACTGTACGTAGCTCAACCAGTATAAATTTAGCATGAAAAAATGAAAATGTTTGCAAGACTTACTGAAATGGGAATGTGTTCTTGAAACATGGGACGCTGTTGCTAGAACATAATGAAACGGTTTGAAATATGATAACAAATTTAAGTGAAAAACATCTACACACACACGCAAAGAAAGACGTTTAGTTTATAGCCCGTATGTTTAGTCATGTATTTTATAGCACTTATTTTGTTAAGCTAAAAATTCTCTTTTTACATTAGTAATGGTGATATTCCAAAAGAAACCTGTTCCACTTTCATTTTCCATTTTAGCTGGAGCCACTGTTGTAGAACTAGGAGTGTACATCAATAGTTTTGACAACATCAATGAACAGGCAATGGTAAGTAATGATATTCTTTTTTTTCTTACAATTTGTCCATTTCTATTTAATCACCGTTATCAAAAAAAAAATAGGAATGGAATAACAGAATCTGAACGCCCACCCCAAATTTAATAACACGATAAACAACTTAAGTTAGGAAAAAATGAATAGAAATTGGTAATAACAAATAAGCCATATGGTCACTTCGCTTAAACATGTGAAAGGATATGTATGCTCTTACCAAATTTTTGCTTTTATACATGTACCAAAACTAAAAGGGTACTTGTCTATCTCGGTTTGTTAAGTAGACTCAAAGGCAAGCTGCCAAGAAGAGCAGTGCTAGAGCGTACAAATAAGTGATGTAGTCACTTCATATAAACCCGTGAAAAAATATCTGCTCTTAAAAAATATGCTTTTCTACATGTACCAAAGATAAAGGGTTTGTTAAGTAGACTCAAAGGCACGAAGCCAAAAGGAGCCGTGCCAGAACACCTTCAATTTGAACACAGCCTAGATTGGACAACGTCCAAATTGGCCAAATTGCATCAAGACCCCTTTCGGCAAGTCGATAAATCTAGAACAATCTGCGCCCAAATAAATTTGGCTTGTCTTAATTGATGTCAGTCGACATGCTTGTGACAACTTTGCGTCAACTTGGTTTAGTCTTACTATAACCCTACATGTTGGCTTATTGCAAGTTGCTACTTTTTTCAAATATGTCCTTATTTTTTTGCATTTAATTAATAGGTTGATTAAGTCCCTACTTAACTAATAGCAAAACGAATAAAAGAAAGAAATGAATTAACTAACAGAGCAAAGGATAATATTCCGTATTCATCTAAAACGATTTGTATTTGCAAAATCAAGAGATAAGGATCAGACAGTAATCTATTTTCAGTAGCTGTTAAAAATACTCTCAAAAGTAGAATTTCTTCACTTTCATAAATGTTACAAATGATTTACGTGCCGCCACATCCATTTCACTATCAGTTGTCAAGCACCGTTATCTGAGAAAACCTCTTAACTTGATTTTAGAAATTCGAAGTAAAACATCTGCCTACGCCACCCCCACTGCGTCCTGGCCAAAAATATAATTTCGGTCTCGCAGAAACCTTGGCATTGTACTCAAATACCTGATATGTACATGTGCATTGCCTTAATTGTGGTACATGTTATCTCAATACCAGTTTGTGTCTTTAGATTAATGGAACCATTTCTTTGGAAAGCATAGCGGGAACAGTTCAGGCATTTGGCAGAATTTGGCGATATATAGTAAATGACAAGGACACCTGCAACTACCACATAAAGTGTCTTATAAGGCCAAAGGGCTGGGTTTTTGTATATAGGCCTACATTGTATACCGCTACTCAGTAATTTAACATATAACAAGTAAGCCCCTATATTATCCCCTATAGGCCTACGTAAAATGCATACATGACTTTAAGAATATAGCATGCGTATTACTTTAATGTTACAGTAGACCTACCTGAATATGAAAATTACTTTTATATGAATAGGCCTTTTGCACTTAATATAATTCAATAATAAGAGAGGGGAAAGAGAGAAGTCCATTGCAACTTATACACCACATGCATTTGGTGGCAACATTATAAATAAAACCATAGGCCTAATATAATTTAAAAAATTAATACAAAATATTGTAGTACCAATTTTTAAAAAATATATCAGTGCAAATAACGAACGAACGAACGCATAATCCTTTATATGAACGTAGGCCTACCTTTTATACAAAACGGATTTCCGAGATGTTGATAGGTCTATAACATTTAAGCCTGTGTTGCTATTGCCCTTATATAAACAGTACAGCTATATGAATATTACACTAAACAGATTTCCTTAATATTTATAATATAGGACTACCAGGTAAATATCTACCTACGGCAGCAATGGCATGACAGGAGGCTGAAATTTGACTACTCGGGCGATCCCCTAAGCCCCGATATGATCAAACTGGAAGACGGAATGTGGAACAAGATTTGGGTCCCGGATGTATTCTTCCGGAACGAGAAGAGGGCGGATTTTCACAGCGTGACGGTGCCACAGAGGCTGCTGAGGCTATATTCTGACGGGAGGCTGTGGTATGTTTCAAAGTAAGTCATTCTTACCTCCACCAACGAAAGAGGTTGTATTGACATTTGTACCTCCACCAACGTAAGAGGTCATGTTGACATCAGAGTTTGTTTATCTGTGTAGTTCTTCACAAATATTGATATTTTCAGGATATGTAGGGCCTAGCTGTTTTCGGGTGACAAGTTTATTCAGTTGTGCCATGACGGAGGTCCTTTCTCTTGCAGTGCTCTCTAGTTCTATATCTCTTGATATTTCATTTAATATTAAGATGACAGTATTGAATTATTTCAATTTGGATCTTAAATGCTACATATAGTTTTATTAGTAATTGCCTAATAGAGTGTGATTTTTGGAAGAATTATAAACATATTTTACAAAGGCATTTAAATATGAAATAGCATGAATGTGAAATAAACAGCAAAGAAATTTAACTGATTGCCTTTCATTATAATCAAGGAATAGTTCTCTACAAAATTATGATGTTCAACGGTTTCGAAAATGAGTCCACTATCCCTAAAATTATATTTTCCTTTCTTTATTATTTATTTTTTCAGAATAACTGCAAAGCTTTCGTGCCCTATGAAATTGAAGAAGTACCCTCTGGATACGCAGAAATGTCCATTTATATTTGAAAGCTGTAAGTCGCCCGTGTAGCTATACAGAACATCCTGATACCCATACACTGTATGTCCAGATATAAAAATTAAATTGTATATTTCCCTTTAAAATGCTATTTAGATGTACATGCATGCTTCATTTTCATTTATACCGCAGTTAATATATATGTATATCTAATATGAATTTTGTTTTAAAAATGAAATCTTGCTCTGCCAAGATCCTGGACTTCTACACACATTTGGCTCTAAATTATTACAAACGTTTTCTAAAATTCATCAAATGATTCAAGTTATTGGTTAACCTTTTATTCGGCTAGCTACCTCAACGAGAGCGAAATTTACAAAGCGAATTTTTCAAAACCTTCGCTTTTTTCAGTTGGCCATACGTTAGAGAGAGAGAGAGACTTGTGTACAAACGTTTGACAAAGTAAAAAACATGATTCAAATCATTTACTCACTTTTAAGAAAGACGACCCCTTAAAGAATGTTATTTACAAACAATTAGCAAAATGAATTTACAAAAAGGAATCATAATTATTTATTTTCAGTTGGCCATACGCTTGAAAGAGTTGTGTACAAATGGCTGCCAAACTCGGTTGAAAAAGAACCTTTTGAGATGCCGCAGTACCAGCTCATAGGCTGGACGCAAAGAGACTGTTCACAGAACTACACCGCAGGTAAACGTGGCTCTGCGTAACTTAGGTGCACCTGTCTTTGTCTAGTGGGTGTTAGTTCTTGGTGGGGAACACGTTTATTATAGTAAAGCTAAATCTAGAATGCCCACACTCCTTCTAAATTCCAGTTACCATATGTGACTACAGTGATTTTTTTTTTTTTTTACTTTAGGTGCATTTCCTTGTCTTCAAATTGACTTCCTCTTAAAAAGAGACATCGGATTCTACATGATCCAGGTCTACATTCCCAGCATTCTCATCGTCATCCTGTCTTGGGTGTCGTTTTGGATTGACATTGACGCAGTTCCGGCGCGCGTGCCTCTCGGACTCCTTACGGTCCTCACCATGACAACGCAAAGCGCCGGCGCAAACTCTCACCTTCCAAGAGTCTCGTACATCAAGGCCATAGACGTTTGGATGTGTATGTGTTTGCTTTTTGTATTTGCCTCGCTACTGGAATTTGCATTAGTGAACGTTTATTCGAGAAAAGAGTTCAATATTTGGAGGAGAACAAATAGTATGATGCCTGTGCAAAATGGCCGAAAGCATCATCATCACCATCATCACCGACACGGGAGCGATGGTGCCGAAGAAGAAATTCCTTTAAAAAAGGTATATATTTTAGTTTGTACGTATGGCACCAAATGTGAAAATTAACAACCTTACTCGTTGGTATATTTTTATCATTGCATATTTCTGGTTTCTGTTCATATTTGCATAAAATAAAGCAATTGCCACTGCATATGGTATTGTATACAATTTTTTAGAAATATGCCCATGTCTTTGCAGTGGTTGTGTATATGTCCGTAGTGAACAGGGTACGAGCGAGCGTGCGTGTGTGTGTGTGTGTGTGTTTGTGCGCGTGTCACGTGCATGTGTCCATCGGTATAATGATTCTGTACAAAATCAACAAACAGCGTTATTTCGAAATGATTCAGTTTATATGCATTTCCCGTCCAATTGTAATTGAATCAGAAGTTGATTTTAATAATAGATTTCATATATATAATGACCATAAATTGCAATCATTTCAGGTCGTGACAACTCCGTCAGGTATCTCACTCCATATGAATGGAAAATCAGACTATGCAAGTCTTAGGGAGGACGAAAAACGTTTTCTTATTGAACACAAACAGAAAGCTAGACATATAGACAAAATATCACGAAAAATATTCCCAGTTTCATTCATCCTTTTCAATGTCGTTTACTGGGTAACGTACTTTATGTTGCCGGACGACTGACACGTGGCCCGCGTAGAAGAGGGCGCTGTGATATGATATCGAAACCGAGGTCAAATAGGCACCATTTCCATTACGTCATTCGCTCATCACGTTCTCCAATCTCATCAAAAAGTATCGGCTTAGATGAAGGCTTGCTTGATCATTTGTCCGCTTCGCCATACCGAGGTTAACAGATGCATGGAAAAGGACGTAAAACAAGTTAGAAAATGCACTGAGTATAATTGGAAGGAATAATGAAAGTAAACGGCCTTTTTTCAAGGCCGAAATATCATCGCTGGCTGGGCAGAGTGTAAACTCAGGCGTATGCTTAAAATGTCACATGTAGACACCCTGAGCTTCAGAGCTAACTTGACACTAACCTTTTCACTGTAGCCTATCTCCATCGTGTCAAGTAACCTCTGACGAAAATAGTTTGACCTATTTTATATAAGCCAATCGAATCCATGTTTCAAAATTTTTCACCAAAGTTTGGTGAAAACGCTGATTGGTTGATCGTCAATCGGCAATCCTCGGCTGATTCCGCAAGCTCCATACTAACAACATAGTTATTGTCGAGTGCGGAGACATCCGAGTAGTTCCGAGTGGTTCCGAGTGCATAACCGTACACAAAGAAAGCATGGAGTATATCGGAATTGAAACCAGAGCAGTATGATGCCCTGCATCATTATCTACTGAGGGATGATGTATTTTGCGTGCTGCCCACAGGTTACGGCAAGTCCCTGATATTCAGCCTTATCTTTGATTGGTCCGGATTTGAACAAAGCGCGCTTTGACTCGTTCGCGTTCATTGGCTAGATCGTTCAATGAGTCATTGAGTGCGGGCTTTAAATTTGATTGGCGGGCGGCGGGGGCACTCGAATCTGGTCAGAGGTTACTTGACACGATGGAGATAAGCTACAGTGAAAAGGTTAGTGTCAAGTTAGCTCTGAAGCTCAGGGTGCATGTAGAACAAAACCCGACAAAAGCTTTAAACGATATGTTTACAAGTTATCCTTGTGTCAGAACCGATAACAACTGCGGCGCCGTTAAGCTTTGGAGCTACTCGAAAGTGGGGTATATTTCGCATAATATGTTTTGTAACTGAATAAGTAAGTGGGGTATTTTTGAGTGATCAGTTCAGATCTCGCACGCCTTTTGTGGAGTGGTAATTAAGAAAGGGTACGTAAGAACAGATATGTAAACTAGTTTTTTTATACAAAGTTGGCACAAATATATTTAATTCGATTAAACTGTTTTCAAAACACAAGCAAAAATGGTTTCTCTGACTCTACTCGTGTTTCAACTAATGTCTTAATTGCCAAGACGTTTCGTCTTTTCATCCTTCAGACTCAGAATCTTTATGGTAAATAAATCTGTCTCAGCTACACTTCAAACAAGTTCTTTTCCCTGGTAAATAAGCCAATCATGATCAACAAAGGGCTCATTCCCATTGAAATTATCGGTCTACGTAGATCGATCCAACTCCGTAAGGATCCTTGCTGCATGCAATCAGTGAACAATTTAAAGAGTCCCCTCTGCCTCCAACGTAACCACCAACTTTCCTGTCTTCTTCCCAAATCAAGGAGAAGTCGTATTAATGTGTTCAACTGATTGCAATAAGCGAGAGTACCCGTGGGGTTGACTCGATCTTCGTAAGCCGAGAATTTCAATTGAAATTACATGAAGCCCTAAGACGCTGAAAGTGCAATTACTCGTGAATAAATAAACGGCGGGTAGCTTCCTTGGGTGGCGGCTGTAATCCAATACGGCAATAAAGTCGCAGATGTTGCGATGCAACAGTAATCGAGAAAAGAAAATGAGCTTTGATTGAAAACCCTGCTGCTGTTTCTGCTGTTTCTGCCTAATGTCTCACTAAATTGCCCGTGGTTGATTAGGCCACGGTCTGGTAGCTCTAACAATTTCAACTTTCGAGACATTTTGATCAAGCTTCTAATTGTAAATTGTAAGTCGTAAATATCTGTCGAGCATTGTTATTGATTTTTATTATTATTTGGCATCCAAAAAGTGGCCTAAAGTACGCGGTTACCCGGAACATTCAAACCTTTAAAGACAATACCGTACTACAGTATCTATCAAGTAGTGGTAGTTCACTATTTCAGACTATTTTAAAAATAAACTTAAAGATATGTAACGTTATATAAGTTATAGTCAAACATAATCGGCCTGTCTTCCCCACTCCCCCTGTCGTAAAAAAATGTTAATATGGCAAAAGTTTGCGCATCGCCGTTCGCTTAATTAGACTGGACAATCGACTTTAATATCATGCATAATAATTGACAACAATAATCGGTCCGTGCGTAATGAACTGTTGCAAAACTAGATCCAGTTTGTAAAAGTACGCCATTAACCCTTGCTCAGCGTAGTACATACAACATACTGACCGGTACCATCCGGCGTTCAAGACGCATCTTACTCGTTGAAGACCCTGTCATATCCGATAGCAATGGTAGTCCCCCACGCGATGGAAGACGAGCCATTAGCGACGGGACGATTATTCAGAATCTGTCAAAATATTATCGACATTCACACCAACTGCCAAAGCATGTGACATCAACGAGACGAGAAATATTAACGTATTTCTTCAGGGAATGCAAGGCGTTTTCTGGGAATCGCAACTTATATTTATGTATAGTTTAGTGCAATTACTAAAACACGTAGTGTATCTTGGACGTGACAGAAGTAAAATTAATTTTATAATAATATTTATCCCCGTGCCTCATTGAAATAATATTTGCTTTGGCATCATTTGTACCATTTTGCCAAGCTATTACTCAATTTCCGTTCCTTTAGCCCATAAAGTATCACGAAAACTTCATTTGTGGAAGAATGATAAAAACGTGACGACAGTAAAGGCTACCTTATTTGATCAGAGATGTATACATACTATTGTTTGGGTTTAAAACTTAAATCAGATTAGCATACACTGTCATATGTCATATATTTGAAATGTAATTATGCACTTTAAGAGGACTGGCAAGTTGGACGCTTTGAACTTAGAGAACTTATCAAATAGCTTAAGTACAGCCACCTCGGAGAGTCGATATGAATTAGGAATAATATTTCCTAATTCCTAATTTATCAACAAATAACGCAGATTGACGTTGACAATATCTACAAATGTCTGTCAACAAACTAGGCATGTGCATTATAATGACGTCATCAAAACCCAGAGTGGGGTTGGAAAAAAGGTCGTCAGAATCCCTTGGGGCATATATTCACGAGATATCAAATAACGAAAGAGACAGGTTAACACACGCTTAACATAAAGAAGGTAGTACAGAAAACTGAAGAAACCGAGGGAAATACATGTAGATGTCTGCATTAGCGTAGCAGCATGCGCTGAGACAATCTAGGGGCGAATGATGATTACACGCGCAAGTCCTATTTGAGTAAAAGTACCCTGGCATTTTGTAAAGTGTGAAGAAATGCCCAGGGAGGCTTTATTCACTATTCACACGGAAGAGGTGGTTAAAAACAGTTCAGATCTTAACAGTCACTCTCTTTTCGCTTGCAAATCAATCTTTAATCCATCCACAAGTAATCTTGGAATTATTTAGCTCATTGCTTTATCGCTCATCCCCCATTAGAGCTCATTTTTTTTGCTTTAACGTACTATCTCAATTTTTCACCACATCAAAGTACATTTGAATCAGACGTTGACAGCCATTTATCTTTTTTAACCCTCAGTGTACAGTAAGAGACGCGTATGCAAAGCGCGCGTGCATATATGTACGGAGAATAAATGGTCTATGAAGTTCTTTATGTCATTTGCTTCATTGCAGCATCATTAGTTACTGATAATTGTTTGGGTTAGGATTTAGAGGGTATAATGATTACAGTATAATACAATTGCACACTGGAAATCAAATAAAGCAATTGCAAACTGGCAAAAGTTGCAGTTTGATTCTCAGCGTGTACGTCTCTAACACAATATTGAACCGACTGCGAACATCTCATAATAGCAACTCACGCCCATCGCAAGCATCTCTACTGGTACATGTAAAACATCGTCAAGTCCAAAGACGTGGTTTTAAATGGGCCACTCCAAAACATTTCCCTTTTTCTTCCGGTAAATTGTTGGACACTTGTGCTTTACTAGTTTTAACATATATTTTCAGTACCGACAAGATGTCCCTTCCATTAGGTTTTTTTTAACATAGACTAGGTTCCCATGCCTAGATTGATCTAACAGGAACAATCCATCTCCAAGGGGTTTCTCTCTAAATTGCTTTCGGCTTAACCGGCTAAGATGTCTGGCACGCCCACTGGGGCTGCTAGGGGGTAATCAATTATCATTTAGCAGCTTAAGCAGGCGTGCCAGATATCTAAGCCGCTTAACTGAAAGCAATTTAGCAAGAAACCCCTTAGAGATGGACCGATGCTGTTAGTTCGATGTACAAGTAGGCATGGGAAACCGGTCATAAATAATAGTTTATAGTCTTGTTGAAGTCAGCAATTAAAGGAGATATATAGGTGTTATAAAAAAAACTCTTTATTTCGTGATGGGCAATGAAATATAAAGAAAAATGATTTGATGAACATGGAAAGGCGAAAAATCACATATGCACATTCTACAATGTATGTCAGACAGAGTAAACGAAAGTCGGTTCTTCTGAAGGACCGTGGGTGCAAATTGTACAACAAAATATACAAGCGTTCACGTGAATCTTAAAAACCCAAAAAGAAACTGTATTGTCCTCCATGTTGTATCTTACCATTGCAGTTTAGTAAGGAACTTTCAATAACCATTTGATCAGATCAAGTATCCCCTCATACTTATTGGTGCTACTTTAGAGCAACTATTCATAATGAATCGCACTGGAACCTTGTGAGAAGCACTCAAGTTTTCGTGGCATACAAAAACATCCGTTAAAACTACACCAGAAAGCTGCGTTCGATTACGTTTAACACATCGGGAATAAAACAAACTTGCACTACAGCACATTGGCAATACAGGATATTGTTTTTGGAATAAACAGTAATTCCATAGAGGCAAATTATTTTCACTGCAAGATAATGTTTCTTTCGCAAATCTCAGGACAGAAAAAAAATACACATATTCATATATCTGAAACTGTACCCCAGGTCGTTCCTTTTGTGAAACGAACCATAGCACAGGTAAGTACATGTTCATCATGTTGTCTATCACGAAGTTGTAAAGAACACATTTCACGCATTTTTAACCTTATGTCGTGTCTATGAACGACCACTGAATACTTTCACAAAAATGTGAAGTTTTGATACATTGTTTTACTCATAAACAGTCAAGGTTAGAATAATATACGATAAAGATGGAACTTAAACTAAACTTGATACTGTATCTACATATAGTTGATATTTCAGAAAAAAATAATTATAGCCCATCTTTACCTTACTTTAAAACAACTGGGTGAATCAAAACTTTCATTTCGATGTCAAGATAATATCGAATATTAATTCAAGGGCACTGCAAACTTTAATGTAAACTACCGAACGCTTCAGTGTCTTTATACAAATAGCGCGTCTTCAATACATACAAATGGTTAAAATGTTTCTAAAAAACGGTGGTCTTCAATGTTATTTACAGTGAAATTCACAGTCAGAGCGGTAGTATTCCCATGCACGTCCTGGGTAACATGGCCAGTCAATGTTGAGCATACATGTATACGTGTATGGTGACGTCATTTTGCTTCACGTGGCACATTTATCTGTTGCGCATGCGTGCGCCTACATGCGTCACTTGTGCATGTGCGCATGTGGTGGGACATGTGGTCGGACATGCAACACGTCAAGATTATGTAAGCTGAAACACGTTTTTCTGTTATACTCGTTTACGTTATGCTGTTGATGTCTCATGTCCGTAACGTAGCACTTTACATGTCTATGAAAATATACACTGGCCAGTAGATAAGGCAAAACAGGATAAAAGTCGTTGGAAATAACTTTCTTGATAGTTTGTCCACCATCCTCGCTTTTTCGCGTCCGAATGGATCTCGGATATATTGTGGCGGTTGTTTTCGCCCATTGACACCGTTTTCCACCTGAAAAGGACAAAAACACGAACGTTTAAATATATCATTGGGTTAGACAGGAGGAAATCATATGACATTCACTTTAAATCATCTTCAATAGCTCAATCACTTCTCGAATTCAAGGAAAACTGTGACCTTCTTTATTTAAGCTTCGGTTTATTTATCTATTTATTTTATTTTATTTTGTTTTGTTTTGTTTTGTTTTGTTTCGTTTCGTTTCATTTTATTTTGCCCTTAATTTGATAACTAGTGCAAATTGGAAGGCGGGTCACCACTACCACCACCACTAACCCACGAGGTACACCGGTTCACATTTAATTCAAGCCTCCAAATTTCACCCCAAAAGCTGGTGTCATAGAGGGCCCTACCTCTGTTAAACTCCTTAGCGATTTATCTGACGGACCCTTGAATTTCTCCATCAACGAGGAAGCTTTGCTCGGCTTTGGAATCTCTCTCCGGGAAAAGACGTTGACAGCGGCGTACTCTAGGAGTGACGCGAAAACAAAGACCAGGCACACGGACATCCACACGTCAAGAGCCTGGAAAGATAATGAAATCACTCAGGCAATGTTACGTCATCAACACAATTTGTTAAAAAGATGTCCATGACGTCATGTTTTCTATCCAATGTTCCCAGAAGCCAGGGCTTCAAAATAATCTGAATTCTTTTTTCGTTTCATTTTAAGCACTTCGCTCGATTTGAAGCCAAGGGCAAAATGTATACAGTACAAGTTTAAATTTAAACTAGCATGAACACTCACCTTGATATATGACACACGTGGCAATGACGCACGCGCAGATGCACTCTGTGTCGTCATAGTGAGGACCGTAAGGAGGCCGAGACTGACACGTGCCGGACTGGAGTCTATACTGATCCAGAATGCGACCCAGGATAATATGACGATGAGAGCAGTGGGGACATAGACCTGAATCATGTAGTAGCCGATATCACGCTTTAAGTTGAATGTAACTTTGAGGCAAGGAAAGGCACCTGTTAGAAAAGAAAACAAGGCAGCAAATCTGTCAAATGTACAGACAAAAAGCAGAAAATAATGATGCACAAAATGGGATACTGTGAATAATACAGTATGTTTAACTGCAAAGACAACATCAAGGCACCTGTTGGAAAAGAAAAGAAACATGGCACGCGATAAAAGTCAATCCAGCTATTTTTTATTAATACAGTAAGAGGATTTTTTTTAGAATGCAAGATAACGGGGTAAATGTAACATATTTTCACACGATGCACAAGGTACAAATTTTAAAAACATAATAACCTGAAGTGTACTTCTTGAAACAAATAAAAAAATTAATATTAAAATAAAAACCAATGCACCCCACCTGCGGTATAGTTTTGGGAGCAGTCTTCTAGCTGATGTCCCTGTAGTTTATACTGCGGTAAGCTAACGTGGTCATCCATATCCACTGCATTCTTCATCCAGACAAAATACAGGACGTCCATCGTGTAGCCAACTGATAATAAACAGAACAGCTATCAACTTTTTTTATCATTACAATACTTGTTACTATTACTAATACGCAAACACCGTATGATATAATATTTTTGAAAAATAATTATAATACTGTTCATAATTGTGTTCAATATTAATCGATGAAGTACACAGTATGTTAAATGTCCGTCGGAAAACTGTTCTGAACATAATCTATACCAGAGTGAAATACTCTGTGGTAAATTAATATCCATAAAGATGGGCAATTCATGATCTAATTGTGTCGCATTATATGACATCCACACTGCAAGTCATACCTTCACGGGTCGGAAAATTAATATTTCTTACTAGAAGTTTACATTTTAATTTTTAAACATAATTGTCTTCTTTATTCATTCATTTTATGCATTTCGTGACTTTGAGCCAAAGGGATATTTACCATCATTTTCAGTGATAATCCTGATATTTCAAAAAAACACCAAAATTGACATGAAGCTATCAGAAGTAAATAACGCATGCGCAGACGATACTCACAGCTCTCCAACATCATCGGGCAGTGTTGTACATCCAACGGATACTTCTTTAGGTCCATGGGGCACGAAAGCGTGGCTGATATTCTGTGTAATAATAATAATAGTAATAATAATAATAATAATAACCCTTAATAAGACGGGATACTTTAAGCAAAAAGCTTTTTACAAAAAATGAAGAAAGATACTATTGCAATCAGGTTAAACTCAACACATGAAATAACAGATGTTAAATTACTTTAAACGTTTAACAGTTTGATGGATTTCACATATGAAAATACATGTACAATTCAGCAAATCCTGAGGCCTAGCACACCGTCTACCAGTTTGGGGTTATGGATGTACAAGTAAGTCCAAGCAGCCACAATTCAACTCTACCAAAAACCAAGATTTTGTCAATGGTTCGATTATCGTCTGTCCCCAAAAACGAACAATTCCGACAAGGTACATTAATAAATTGAACATTTGGATGAAATACTTACTTTGTAACATACCAAATCTGCCCATTGGAATATAATCTCATCAGCCTATTCGGTATAGTTACGTCATGATAATTGGCCTTTTTCTCGTTGCGGAAGAACACATCCGGGACCCATAACCGGTCCCAATAACCATCCTCTAACTTAATCATATCCCTGCCTCCTTCCTGTGGGTCGAATGCAAGCCTGGGGTCCGTCCAGTTCTGACGGAGATATATATTCACGGAGAAGTCCTACATAAAAGACAAACAGAATCGTTTGCTTGTGACGAAGTATATATCTATATTAACATGTATGTGTATCAAAGTAAATTTTTGGATTTGCCCAATCATATTATGAGATGATGATGAGAAAATTAAACCTAATAGTGGATCTTAAGTTGAAATGGTGACCACGATACTGGTAACAACTCCAAATCAGTTCATCTAAAGAATGCCTTCTGATAAGTTTGAAACGCTTTTCAGCGCAAGATTTAGTATTATATTTAATTCACTATTTGAGTATTTATGTATATTCTTCGGCACAATATTTTTGTCTGAATCTTTAATTAAAGCTTTAAGGTGATCTATTTGTTAATCAGGATGGCGATTTTCTTCTTTACATACAGTATTTAATAGAGCGAATGATGTGGAGCTCATTTGATGTGTCATAACAATCTGATGTCATTTTCCACTATTTAATAATGCGTACTCCACAAAGTGACATATTATGCACCCAATTTACTCACCATCGTTTGTTCACTAATTGAGTAGAAACTGTTGATATAGATACCCAGTTCAACTCGAGTTGATTTGTCTGCAATGATGAATATAAAGTAATTGAAACAATTAACAATTAATTAATTAATTAATTGATTAATTAATTAATCTTGAAAAATGGAATAAATGAAAGATAATGAAGGGTAATTTGTTGTACTGTGTGCCATCCGTGTGCATTTTTAAATTTTTTTCAAAGCTTTGATTTTCAAGTGAAAGAAATTTCTAAAAATTGTGTTTTCACGGAAAAATGGAGTTATGCCAGTATTTTTTGAAGCAAAGGCTGTGTTTTCGGAACAAATTGACATTCTCCAAAACAAAAAAAGATCGAGTCCTAATCATATTCATAGTATTTTGGCACTACCGAATAACAAAACGTTGTCAAATTAGCTTTCCTGGTCCTTCTCCGGATGCAAACCACTTTCTGTATTTTATTAGATTGAAATGTAACAATCGCTCAGCCCAAATTCATAACCAACGCCTTTTATGTCTCATAAGCAACGCAAACCATTACTCCGTGAGAACTCTTACAAATAACTTGCCTGATATATATATATAAGCAATATCTGAAAAGGATCAAACATTGGATCTGAACTGTTCTTGGTTAGATGGTACAGACCCGTAACGTATGTGGTCCTTTGAGTTTGAAAAAAAAGCATTTTGGCAACTTTCATCTCCAACTTCAAATCCATTTTTCACCTTTTCAAATATTAAGAAGCACGTTCCTCCCTCCTCGTTATAACACAAAGATACTCTACCTAACATTGGAGGTTGCCCCCGATCGTAGTTGGAACGCTTTAGAAGGGATTCCAGAAATCCAGATCTACAGAAAAAGAAAAGGGTACAAAACAACACCGATATTAAACAATAATTAAGATGTGATCAACGACGAGATGGAGTCACCAAAAGAGCACAATAAGATTACAGGTTCATAAACAAAGGTGACGATACGTATCAGATGTGTTCAGAAACAATCAGAGGTGACACCGATGTTTATTAGTCACAATACAAATGTCAGGGACCAATTTCCAAATAGAACTTTAGACCTAAGTTTGGTTTTACCTGATGGACCAAAATAGTGGTTGGACAAATATTTTGGTCAACTTTGACTATTTTTAAAATGTACACCAGTTCTATAAATAGGGCGAATATCCATTTCAAACAATAAGAACTTATCTGTTAGTGTACAATACAAGTAGCTGCATTATTTTATCTCATTTGTCTACTACTGATTTCAAAGTTAGTATTTCGAGTTAAAGTAGTCTTAAAAATCTGTTCTAAAAGTTCAGACAGACTTTCGGTCTAAAGTTCTTGGTGAAATGGCCTGAGTGGAATATGACGTGCAAACAGTTTGAAGGAAAGTTTGAGAGTAATAACGGTGGGCGGCAGGCGGACAGCCATCAAAACCCTGAAAAGAAGATGGTAAGTTAGTGCCATAGCCAAGTGGGCCTTGGAAGGACAGCGCAAATTGAATCATTTCCATAGTATCACACCGCTTATTATACAAGAGTAGAACGACAACCAATTTCATTAATTCAAAAGTATTAAAGTAACGCGCTTGGGGAATTGTTGAGAGAATTAATTTAAGCTCAAATATACAGTATATCAAGTTTCGCTCACTTTAAATATTCTGCGTTAGGTTTTGGAATCATTCCAATCATTTCTTTCGATGATAAAAATTGCTAATGTTTCAATTTGCGATATCGTCTGCGCCAGCGCTACCCCGGCCCCAACATCAATTCTGCCAGTTTGTTTATTTTGTCGTTACCTTGCATGGGGGGTCTCAGCTTATCGTAATTCCGTAACAGCTTCCCTAAGAACCAAGAGCTAAAGGGGAAGAAATATGTAAAAATAATATATATCATTATTTAATGCAAAATCATATATAGGATTACGATTTTGACGTAATTTTATCGTATTTCCGCAACAGCTTCCTTAAGAACCAAGAGCAGCTAAAGGGGAAGAAATTTGTAAACATAATGTGTATCATTATTCAATGCAAAACCATATAGGATTACAATTTTGTCCTAATGTTATCGTAATGCCGTAACGGCCTCCCTAAGAACCAAGGGCTAAAGAGGAAGAAACATGGAAATATGATATATATTTTAAAACATTATTCAATACAAAATCATTAGATACAATTTTGTACTGGAGAGCAACGTTGGTGTCATCTGAAATAAGAAGTGTAACATCAGCCATATTAGATCCAATAGTGTGGCCGCTGATTATATATCGATGGAAAATGATTGCTTGGGTAGAGAACTTTGTAAAATTTACGAAAGAACGAACAATATTCGGTTTATCTTCCTCTTTCAATATAAATTTATATTTTTCTCCACATAAAATGTCAACCAATATGTATGACAACTGATTGCCAAATGATACGTGAAAAGTTACTGACTATATTTATTTAAACACAAACAGAAGAACATCTTATTTTTTCATATTATTTCGTTTGACTCTCCCCTACATCAAAGAATCTTACACTCCTAGCAGTTCGATTCATCTGGCCGTTGCGTGCATACAGTATACGCTTACGTTGAAAAATAAGATTATATATTGAAGTATACTGACAGCGATTGTCCTAACTCAATCACTATCGGGAAAGAAGCCCCTGTACGAAATCCAAAATCCACTTACTAGTGACCGCAGCGAAGGAGACGCACGAAATCTAGTTTACTGAGTACATGAAAATTACACAAGATGGTTTAACAAAGACAAATGACTGCTTTTTCTTAACAGCTGTTCTTTTTAGAGGCTGCGTGTTTAAAAGGCATCCAATATTTAGAGCGATTTTTTAGGCTAAGTGCTTTTTAAAAATTCAGGATTTTTACTTTGGAGAGGACGGCGTGCTGGCTTAATTGGCGAAACAGATTAGACGGGTGTTCTTTTATTTAATCAATCGATCTACTTAAGCAGGGACAAGTTATAAAACATAAATGTGCTGGACGTACTGTTGCATGTCCAAAATTTGGTAAAAGAGACGACTTGTCAATTTCCATTAACTAAATTACATACACTCCAGTCACGGTTCAAGAAACGTCATCGTTGATCAAGAGAAGCGTCCAACAAAATGTCAATGTTGCCGTGGAGGGAGACGCCAATGTCGTTAAAGAGGGATGCATTTATCAAGCCAATGTTAATTACTCTTGACAAACATCCGGCTATTGATTAACGTCTGTGAGTCAACTTACATCGCCATAAAATGCAAATATTTTGTCTCAAGAAAAGGAGCTGTATCAAAATTGAATAAATACAAAAACCTGTTGTTTGATCGAGAGCAAGTGCACAGAACGTGCAACGTGCTTAAAGGAGTTCTTAATCAATTGGAACTTGAAACATTGTAGTATAACAAGACATCAGGGCAAAGGGTTATCAAGAAATGGGTCACACATTGTGGCAAACGTAAAACACACGTGTTCGTGAAGATACTTTAATACACATTTTGTTAAATGAGTCACTGGTTTTCCGTACATTCAAAGGGTTCCACTCAACTTCACACATGTTTATATCCACATTTCGTTAACCGAAGAAAATGGTGAAAATTTTCCAAACGTACTTTTCAGCTTTTAAAAATGGACAAATCACCTTGGCCACGTTCAAAATTATTTAACCCGCCGATAATCTTGTCCGCTTCTCTTGATAAATTGCGCACTTGACAACGGATTCGTGCCTCCCATGCGTGCCGTCCCAGCAGGGGCAGAGCAATGTAATCTCGACATGCTTTCAAGTGGGTCGCGCCATATTTGATCCGCGGACTAGGTAGTCCGCAGATCAACTGGTTGTGAACATGGCCTTAGGACGATAAAACAAGATAACACGATAGCCAAACCAAGTAAATTTAACTATACAAGGCTACCAAATCTCGGGGGAAAAGACTATAATGACATTGTACGTCATGCCCGTCGTCCACTATAAATAATATAAGACTTGGAGCATGTTACTTTTTTCTTGATTGCGTTTAAACATCATCTCCACCAAAGACCGATACGGTTCGGGGCAGCCTGACCTATATTTGAATAATTAATACCTGTTCTATTTCTTTTTTTCTTTCACCTTGTATAAATATATCTACACACGTCACGTTTCTGAGTGGATTTATACAATTTTGATCCGAGATTTCGAAAAACACCGCCGGCTCTAGAGCCTTTGGTTGACAATTGAAACTTAATTTAGAAGTCCTACCGCCCCCTCTCCTTTTTTATTTCCCCAATTTTCTGAAACAGACGTTGGAATCAGGACCAGGAATCAGGAGGAAATACAGATTAAAAATGAGGCCAGTAAAAGGACTTAAAATTCTCCAAACATACGCATTTTTAAAAAAAATTCTTCAGACAGTGGGGAGGGGGGGTGCAAACAAACCCCCTTTATTCCCCTCAGAATGCCCAGTATTTGCCAATCAAACTATTGTGAAATAACCACTCTAATAAACATCTAATACCACCATCGATTACCGATAATAAACCATTGTAATAAGAGAGGCCAGCATGATTTCATTAAATAATAAACAAAATACTGTTTACATGGCGGTAACACAATATTACATGTGATTACTAATGCAGTGACAGCTGAAATGAAACACAGATATGGACGCATGCGTTTGTGTGAATGCGTGTGCGTGTGCGTTCGCGTGATTGTGCGTGTGTTTGTGTATGCATGCGTGCGAGCCCGTATCAGCTAACTCTTGTTATGTATTTTGTTCACACTGGCCCTGATGTTTTTGCTCTTCATTATTGTAGGGACAGTGGATTACCAGGGGATGTAGAATTTTGCTGGGGGCGGAGGGAGAGAGCAGGGACACACATAAACTGTAAAACCAGACAAAAGCACTAATTTTGATAAGAAAAATAGTTTAGCTCGTTATAGTTTTTTCAGAGGTGGAGAAGGAGATGGCGGGGGGGGGGGGGAGGAGGTGGATGCAGACACTCCTCATCGTTGTTAACATGCACACGTTTTCCGTCTGCGCTAGATCGTTAATCAAATACGGAGGGTGATTAAGAGTTCGTGCACTTAAGGCTCCACCTAAAGCCAGCTCTATTGGAAAGCAAATGGAGAAATTGGCAGTGCTTTGTGTAGCATCGTCATCGTTAAGAAGATTATGTTACGTAAACCATTTGTCACAATACATATCTCTGATTTTCAACTACGTAGGTTTGAACTCTAACTGTGCGACGGGGAAGATACGGTGGAGAAATAACCGAGGTCGAGTTTCCTTTGTGGAAACAACAAGGAACCACGATTCATCATGGTGAAGGTTTCTTAATATACAAACGCGAATAAATGTCTTTTAAATATCGTGCGTTTGTTACAGCGTATTTCCGTCAACTAAAAACTCAATGTTATTCCTCGGAGAGCGTCTCCGGAGAAAAGAAATACTATGAGTAACTAAATAACGTGGGGACTTATGAAGTTAGGTAGAAAGTTATTTCATGGTCGAGAAAGAGAGCGATGCCTGAGGGAGCCAAACCAAAGTGCCTGAAGCCTAATGGATGAAACAAAACCAGATGGAGATACAGATAGAATGTTATTGTAAACCGAGAGATTTAAGGTTAGACTGTGTGTTTTAGAACGAGTCGACATATCCCGAGTATTTTGAAATGCTAGAAGGTCGTGACATAATTTGGTTAAAGTGTCTCGTGCTGTTATGCCCATTCCCCCCTCGCATCGTATCAAGCTTTATAGCAGTTGTTTTACGAGGGCGGAAAGAGTTTGAAAAATACAGATTTAAAGCTTGACTGGAGTTACATGTAATAAAACTTAAGAACGGGTGCCTTCTGGTTAAAACACACAAATCTAACCACGAAGTAGGTAAAGACGGAAAAATGGATGGGATGATGGTATTTCCCCAATAACGAATGAAAAAATGAACGTGTGCGTGTGCGGATCTTTGTGCGTAAGCGTGAATGCGCGTGATGGTAAAGCTGAATATAATGTCCAGAGGAATGCACGGTATCTATGGACAGTTAGACAAGCACGGTGTAGGCGATCTTGATAAAACAATAAGATGGACAAATTAAAAGATAAACTTCACTAAGTCTGATGCAAAAGATTACTAAGTTGGGAGATGTGAAAATGGTTCAAATGGCCACTGTAGTTACTAGTGATAACTTGAACTTCTTTATGATATTGACACTGAAATCAGTCCAAAGATTGCAGGCGTAATTAAAAGCTAGTACACGCATTCCATTCTGATACAAAATCAGTTTTAAAACCAATTTTTACTTACGTGGAATTCACAGCAGGCGGGTCGTGGTGCACATTGTTCTCCCGTCGCCTTTTTCTCTTTTCTTTCTTTCCACCAGCAGCCTCCAACGGCGACATCGTCAGTAACAGCAGCGCTGCTATATGAACAAAGTGAAGCAACCTCTTCATTTCCATGTTTCAGTGATGCTGCCAATAAAATCGGCACCTTGAGAATAAGTTCTGTAATCCGGATCTCAGAAAGGCACTGATTTCCGCTGCTCTCTCTCGCCACAACGAGTGATTTTTGATAGGAAGAACGCGCACACTTTATAAGACAGAACGGGCGCAACCAAACGCACGAGGTGTCGTTGGAATCGCCAGTCACGTCGGCATCAAATTCAATTAATTGACTTCAGAAATTCTTCCCCGGGGACGCCCTCGTTTTGAAATTTAACTTGATTACCCTTATGCCTTGATCAATTGTTCAGCACACACCAGAAGGAGACGGGAATGACGGATATCCTCGCAAAAAACTCCCCTCTGAACATCAGACTTTTAGCAGCAATTGCTCGACCACCCAGAGGAACCTGAGAAATCAATGGATCGGATTCCCTTGCTCCAAACAACGGTTCCTGAGTCAAAATATATTTAGCCTTAACAGGACACGTATTTTGTCGCTTCCCTCTACTTTAAGTTCGTTTCTTGAACGCTGTTTCTCTTCTGAGAGAACTCTTCGATAGCTTTGACTGCACTATTTCCGATAGTAGATGTTCCTCTTACTGTCGTCTTTAAGGATTATACGTATGCTGTACGCCTGTCTTATATAATGTGGAAATGGGAGTAGACGTGGCTATGATTACGCCCCACAAATTCCTGAAAAGAAAAATAAAATTTTGTTAATTTTTTTAAACATTTTATAATGACGTTATGATGAGGAATGGCTATAAAACAGAATCAAGATTCCAATAGAAGAATGCACTTAAATTATAGAAGTTTTATACGAAAATATGTATTACTACTTGACAAATTATAATCGACGGCTTTGATATATGTGATACAATAAGCACTGGAGAAGTACTGGATTCCAGTCGCCCAATTGTACCTTCAGTTCGTTATAATCATGATATAAAAATAAGTATAGTGGAATTAACCTGACCGATACATTTTAACACTAGAAAAGGAAAAATCTAATCTTTTTTTTTTTTCTGAGTCAAACATCTGATCAAAACACCAGCAAGTACAAATAAACCTTCACTTCCTCCAATTTCAGGATAAATTCCATTCCAATAATAAACAACAATAACCAAAATGGTTACCAAATGCATTCGAAACTCAGTGACCTGCAACAAACAACGGCAAAGCATCCTAAATTTACATTTCCCGATTCGAATTAAATTTGCACGTGTGGTGACCTTAAAATGGATAAGAGAGTATGGAACTTCTTATTCACCCCCTGGACACTACACTGGCTATACAAAATATTCCGCTTAATTGCTAACTCTAAATAAGTTACAGTATTGACAATGTGATAACGTAAAATGTGTTTTCCTTACACTGGCCGTACTGGTAACACATAGATCTTTCAAAACACTGCGGAAACAAAAAAAAAAAGTAATGAACACGTTTTGTGGTCACAAGCAGGTAAATTTAACACCTACTCATCTAATTTCTCAACAACGCATGTAGAGAAACAGACATATAATGTCTGTAAGACAGAAAATGTATCCAAAAGCAAGATCCAATGTGCTAAAATTCCATTCATTAAAACGCTCCCCATCTGCACAAACCAAAATTTATACCACGTTCTTAGTTAATAAACTACAGCTACATGTACGATGCTCCAAGAGCAGACATCCCGGAGCAATGTACTAAGCAGCGTTCCTTAACCACGAGTATCATTTGCCTGAACCCTTACCCATCGCAAGTGGAACCACCTTATGCCGTGCTCGACTCGAGCGAAGCGTTTTTCATACCTGTACGGCCACAGGTGTGAGAAGCCTCCATTTCAACAGATATATACAGCCCAAACGTCACGTATTTAGAACACCCACTGTGATTGAGCCTCTTTCAGAACCGACAGTGGTTTTCGTTACATGTACGTGACTTTGCCATTCTTTTTTCTGTCATATTTCTAGTACAGTATGGACATATGGTTATTATACTTATATCAATACAACGTACGGGGCCATAAAATGAAAATAAACATTTCGCGCTGTTTAAAAAAGGCACTGAGTTATAAATGGCAAAGCTGATTTTTATTATTGATTGAGTGAATCACAACTTTTATCCACAGGCTTAGCTTTTTTGTGGCTCCATCTATCCATCTGCACCCTTCGCGCACTCGTTATATCTTCCCTTACACTTTGGTATATGATTCCAAAGTCAAGTTTTTCATGGCGCGATGAACTTCAAATATGCCATTTCTCTCTTTCTCCCAGCAAACATGTAACGTTTTATAACAAAACTACGTATTTTGGTAACGTTATGGTAACGTTATAATAATGTTCTGTTTACTGAGCTCTCTCTCACACACACTCTCTCTCTCTCTCTCTCTCTCTCTCTCTCTCTCTCTCTCTCACACACACACACGCACGCAAATACACACACACACACACACACACACACACACACACACGCACACACACATTAACAATTAAGGTCCACCCCTTCCTTCTTCGAGACGTCTGGCGTAACTTCGTTAATAGAAATAAACTTCATGTGCGGGCTGATTTCATTGGCCAAATTCGATCTCTTATTTGGTTACTTTTGATACACATGTACTAATGATACCCCCTGTGGCAAAGCGGCGACCTTCGGAACAAATGGCATCGGTCAATTAATATAGTATACTGATACTCGTTATGGGGTACCTTGGGGTCGAAGTATCCTATGCATAGTATTTAGGATATAGAAAACACCTGGCCGGCACCCGCGATTTCAGCTAAAATGACAGAGATTGCATACATAGCTTAGGCGGCAGGTGGGCCGAGCAAACAAACATAATTAACAAAAATCAAATGAAATAGCCTACTATGGGTCAGGGGTCAGGTGAGTGCGAATTCAACTCATTTTTGTAGTTTGTTGAAAGTTGAATACTTTACTGTGATGTACAGAAAGAACTTTTTGGAGAGGAAAACCAAAAAAAAAAAAAACATATGAAGTGCATAAAAGTTTGTAAAACTCGGTGCTACGTGCCTCTGAGTGCGTTTGCTACCGTTTTAAACATGATGCCATTTCCAACCACTTCCAGCTCTTCCAGTAGATTTCCTAACTAAATCATACAACACGAACGGAAGGCCTCGGCGTCAAAAGAACACTTTTTTATCACTCAAATAACAACAAATTTCATTAAGGTGGCTACGGCCCCGATGATGATGATGTAAGTGATATGAAGAATTTATGAAACTCTACTAAAAGGTCGAGTGTATTGGCATTACAGGGGATATTTCGATAGTCACTAGAGATGCGCTGTCACACGGAAGTGCGAAACGGACCATTAGTTTTTTTTTCACTTAAATTCATGTGCATTAATGCCGGCACTTAACTTTGTGTATGTTACTTATTCTAACTCTGGTATACTTGAGTGCAGGATAAAGATATAGTAGTCTACTAAAACAGGATGGTTATTGTTCTATGATATTGGAATGTCTTTTTTCTTTTTACAAACCAGACGCATGACTCTTGCTTTCTGGCAGGATTAAGATACAGTAGTCTACCAAAACCGGATGATTATTGTTCTACGATATTGCATTTGATTAGTTTTCTTCGATATTGAATATGTCTTTTTTTATAAACCAGACGCGTGTTTCTTGCCTCCAATAAATGACATAAATGAATAAAGATGAAAGCAGGAAACAATAATTCCCTTGGAAATAAATCACATTTCGCAAATAATAATCTAGTTTTTTTTAACGTTTCGCTTAGCAAGATTTGTTGAAACTAAATCGCCTTGCTTTGCAGCCCGATCGAATTTAGTAGACCCAGCTGCAAAATTGACAGCAAATTAGCAGAAAATAACTTTTCTAATGGATATATTGTACGCATTATCTGTATCGTAATTTTCTTTTCAGTAAAATTTCTCTCTGTGATACCGGTTGTCATGGAAACGTGACAGCACCGCAGAGAAAGCTGCCCTGGAATCGATTAATTGCTTCAATTTCCGATAGTATTAAGATTCTGGTTTGCTTTCCCTGTCACGAAATCCTTTATGAAGTTTGTGATTTTCAAGAAGCATTGAGACCTCATTACTCGATTGATTAGCACATGATCGATTATTCACAGGGATCGATAACTATAATGATAATAATAATAATAGTATCGTGTCGTATATCTTATTATTATTCCCATTTTCTACAGTGAGCTTCTCAGACCTAGAGACGTTCATTTTCAAACCTTTTATACGGTTGCTACATGTAGTAGTTGTCTTCGGAATGATGAAGACTGATTTTCTTCTCAATTTCGAATTCTCTAAGGGTTCACAAGTACCTGAATAAGAAGACTGGTGTTTTTATACAGTGTCAAAGTTATGTTTGTCCTAGAAAAACAGATACAAATGTATGTGCACAACCGAAACAGTCACAACTAAATGGCGCCCTCCGACAAATAAACCGACGTCATCAGGCGACTAACTGACGTCATTAGAAAATCGATTTTCGTCACCAAACATCCAAACTACAAAGAATTTTTACATCAAACATCAAACAACTGTGTCGTCTGTTTGCTATCCAGGCAAAGTTAAATGAGCTGTGACTGGGACTTGAATCAAATCGGCCACATTTCCTGATCTCACTCCAAGTTATAGGGACAACAAGCCCTCAGCTGTTCAACATCAAAAAAAAAAACCAATTATAACAGCCTCCCTGAAAAAAGAATCAATTTGCAGCGCAATCTTCTAGCCATTTCATGTGTAATTTCTCGACACAATTTACTCCACACGGTAGCGGATTCTCTCATTATTTTTATAATGGAACGAGGACGGTTTGAAAATGTAGCATCCATCGATGCAAGACCTCGTTATTCTCATCATCATCTGTCAAAATTAACGCAGTTTCTTTTGAAGCTGCAATTTGTAAAAAAAAATTAATAAATAAGATTTTAAAAAACTGGGAGGGACATATCTGATGGGCAAAGACATTTACAGACGTTGACAGTATCTACTAATAAACTAAACTCTCTCTCTGTCTCTCTCATTCTCTCTCTCATTCTCTCTCCTTATCTATTCGAATATCTATTTATCAATCACTGAAGTAGAAGACAGAATAGGAATAATTTTTGAAATTTTTGATGAAATTACCTGAACGACTGTAAGTCAGTTTTTAAAGTAGTAAGCCTGCTTTTTTCTTTAGTTGTCCATAATCTCTGAGCTAACATCATGTATTTTTTAAAACGAGAAAAGTGAGGATTATAAATATGGGGGGGGGGGGCATTTTAACGGACGCAATGAGATGGAGCTCATATTCCTACCAAAAAGAGATAAGAGTATAAAAATAAACCAACGATATACATAAACCCCAGCATGCGATTCCCAATTCAGCCATTTCAATTATTTGGCTGATGCCTGTTGACACTAGAAAGGACCCCACCGGCTTGTATCCCCAGAGGGGGCTTGTAAGCCTTGTCCCAAACACAAAATAAACATAACAAAAACGTAACTAATCTCCGTTACCATCTGTGTCTACATTGTTATTTTCGTTCGGCCTCACCCTTGCTTATATTCTCCATTAAATCCCGGGCGTTAAATCATTGCAATAATATCTTTCGGATGGTTTCAGCGCTTGTACACGATGGAAATACCCCCCGAAGTGGAAAAAGATGAGAATCAATTACTCAGGTCATCAGCGGCGGTATGGGAAAAAGGTGCTCCCAAGTACAGC